TAACTTACACAACACTTTCGACTCCCCATCTTTGGCTTCACCTTCGACCATAGATGACACATTTAAACATATTATATGAAGCAAAAAGTACTTTTTACTGAACTATGAGAATGATTTCGGGATATTTGAAAGTACAACCGATTGGTTCGAACGAAAAAATAATAAATGCAATTTGCTCTAAAGTCTCCTAAAGCGACTATCGTGAAGAAGGCGCTTCATAATAGTAAACATAGCAATAAGACTTTTGCTATAATAATTACGAATATTATTAATACGCTTATTACAAAAGATTATGTTTGAGAATTAAGTAAACGAGTGCGTTTGTTAGAATGCGAGTTAATAATGTTGCGTTAATATTAATATTATTATGGTGTTATTCATACCCAGTTAAACGTAACGATGACCTTGTCATGTAGTAATGAGATTACTTTTTCGATGTGTTAAGTGAATACCTATGAATCAATTATCCCACCATTATAATTATACTTTTATAACGTTTACAACATTTACACAATATCAGAGATAATAGCATCTCTAATTCACATAACAAACAGCATTGGAACATAGCCTATGTTGGCTAAGAAAATTATTAAAACGTTTACAACGATGGAACACATAGTGAAGCCGTTACGTTACGAGCCGACAGAAAGACTCGTCCCGTTTTGATACAATAATATTATTAACGCAACATCTTAAACTTTGTTCGTTCGTCGGTCTTCTCAGCAATCGGCTTTTACGGCAGATTGACTGTCTTCAGCAAATGTATCGTTCTGTTGTATAAACATAATACGTTTAACCGAGTAAATAACCATTTTGCGCGGTAGACTGTTCGGATAGGTTATTTTCGTCTTGTCGTCGTTATAAGAGTGTCAATAACTATTTATGATTTGCATTTATTGTCTTTTTGTTCGATTCAATAATAGACCGCTTTGCATAAGCTAACAGACTTTTATGACAAAAGTCTAACGATGTTTCGTTATGCATTGAATCCGTATATTGAATGTCGATCGTCGATTTTCAGGGACGTCATGCAAGGTAGATCATGTTTATTTCACAATGGGATTTCATTTCGACGATCGTTAAATCTTTATTACTATTAAAACCTCATATTTGAGCTCTGAGCGTAAAGTTTTTTTAACATCATGCTGAGTTTGCGATTCGGGAAAAGTCGCGCATAATTATTTTTTCACTACCGCAGTAATTATTAATCCAATAAATATCGGACTTGGTATTAGCTGAAATAATCAAAGACATACGATTCTAAAATTCGAACTTTTTTTTTAATATTATCTAGTCTTACTAATACAATCTATCCGTAGTGATTACATGTCTAATCACATTTGTGTCTCTTTTGGATGAATATAGTTTTTTCTTCCTCGACCGCTTTTGGTCAAGGTAGGTATCTTGACTTGTATGAATCTGTTGACGGTCGAGATATTTGAAAGTTATTGATAGCAAGGGAGAGGAAGGCTGTTTCCGTTTTATCGTCAATGGGTATACGCGGAATGGTATCCAGAATGGTAAGGCTTTCCCTCCTGATGGTATAAAAAGGAGTGCCTCTCTGGTTTTATCGAAGTGGTTTTTCCAGTTTCTAACAGTCACTCTTCCCGTAATTTTTCGCGGCCAAGTATGATCAGAGGAGTTTTTATAGATCCAGAGTCAGTTGCAAAATAGTCCGACTTGATAATATCAACAACGTTTCTACTGAGATATAAGTTTCATTGAAGTACATTTTTAGGTAATTTGGTCAGTTGTTAAAAGTATTTGAGTATAGTAATGTATAATGGAGATTTCAGTTGCTGCTGATGTTACATTTGCTTGAGTAGCTTGCCTAGTATTATTAGTGATGTAAAAATGAGGTCGATAATGAGGAAAAGCAGTTGTTATAGTGGGCCTACTATAGTACCACTTTCCACTGTACAAGTTGCCATGGTATTTCTGCCATTGCTTGTATGCCGAAAGTGTATAATAGTACAAGCCTATACGAGACATGCGAATTCAGTATTTCAACTGCCTTTTCACGGTAGAGCAAAGTTAATTAAATTTTGACGCGTTGATTTCTAACTAACGTAATAAACTTGCATGTAGTATGTTCTTTTTCTAACTTGGTAGGTCGCCCAATCGATGTTTTTTGATATAACATTGTTCGACGGAGGTGCCAAGTTTTAGCGCCGTAGACATTAGACCGTATTTGTTGATACAGCAATTAAATGCACAATTTTGCTGATAATTCTTAATCATTGACAGTTTTCCTTGCATTCCTCACCTTTCGCAATGTTTGTGATTCTTGAAGGTGCGGAAATTTAACCTTCTTGTACAACCATCTTTCGTCAATCCATTTAATGCACAAAAGAACGGAAGGCCATTCTTCCAAGATTATGGGGTTATCATAAAAATGCACTCTTGCTTTTGAAATTGGAACAATATTTATACAAACGCCAACATTTATTGTATTTTTACAAGAATGGAAACACCATATGTGTCCAGACATTCGTGCTTTTGATTCTCTATGCTGTCTGTTTGCTTTTTTATTTGATCTATTGTTTGATCAAAACGTCCTTATTTTGCGGCTTTGTCAAAGTTTAAAGACAACATAACGAAGGTGTATGCAATAGTGTACTGTTTAAATTTTCAATATTATAGCGATAGAGTGTATTCCAACACTGCTTCTAATCATGTCGTTAGACGACAATTTCTCTGTGGCGTGTGCGATAGTGGTTTGAAATACTACCGAAAATAACAAGAGATTGTGTGAAACATATTGTTGGCATATATTAATAATATAATGGTCACGAAATACTTTAAATTATCTGGAGACACTATTTTTCCGCTGGCGATATCGCTTTACATAGCTGAGATCGGGAAGCTAAAAAAACCGTATCACTGTCTGTACTAAAAATAAACTATTGCGGGAAGAGAACGTGAGTGACGGGATAAATGCTCGACAAATCAAAGTCGATAAAGGTCTCGTGGTTTTTGCGCGTCTGACATGCTTGTACAGTGTCGAATAAGATGTTTATTATTTGCTATTGTCTTTCTTTAATTTGTTTGGTTCCCAAAAGCTTTTGTTCTCAACACTTATAGTTAGTCTGCTCTTGATGCATTACGCTTACACTTATAAGTATAAAGCAAACAATTACAAACATAAATTTATTAATATACGAGAACGTAGTAGCATTATCTCATCAAGCAAACACTTCCTCTTTTTAAAAGGTTAGCAAAACGTTATTACTTTTCTACAAGTTTATATGCATTTCACTAATTTACATTAGGTAAATAGCAGGATGAGTAACAACCAAGAGCCAACAGTACAGTATACTGTACGAGTTTTTACCAAAGTAAAGCAACCTGGTGCTATTACGAGATCTCTTAACGGCGCCTCGATGGTTGTCTCGAGCAAAGAAACGTTCGGAACGGTGCTAAATAGAAGCGGTCTATGCTCATTTGTCTGTGAATGCAAAAAGTTATCGATCCGAGTACCAGAGAATACCTTCGATTGTATTGTTCGGCCAGATTTTAATAGTCAGAACGTTCTCGACAGTCGCGTCGGGAGACATCTATCCGCAAGTGGTGTATCAGAAATAATTTACTACCTCGACCCCGTCGAAATACCGAGTCGTAACCCGACTATATGTTGCAGGTGCGATCATTTATCGGACGTCTATCTCGCTTCCGCTGCT